CGTGTCGCGGCGCCTCGGACACGATGTACTTCAGGACATCCTGCTGACTGTCGCGGTCCTCTGATCGTAGCGCCTTGCTGGTGATCAGGAAACCCACGTGGCCCGAGGGGAGCAGCCTGAGCGAGCCTGCCGCCTTGTTGACCACGATCTGCGGCACGCCGTTGTCCACCGTGTTGATGTGAATGCTCATCATCTGCGGCTTGCGCGTCTCGTAAATGGTGTCCGGGAACACGTAGAAGTCGGTGTGGGTGCCGTCGGTGACCGTGAAGGAGAAACTGTCCTCGCCGGACTCGGTGCCGTCGTGCTTGTAGCTGATCATGTTCTCGTTCAGGTCCTGCTTGGTGAATGCCGTGATGGGCCGGGAGTTGTTGAAAAGCAGTTGCCCATGCACCGGCACCTGTGTCACGACAAAGCGCAGCAGGCGGTCCGGCGTGTCGCGATCTTCCACCGTCAGCTCAAACGGCGTAATTAGCTTGGCCTCACCTTCCTCCACAACAAGCTGACTAATGGTCAAGACGGGCTTCTTGTTGTCCACGTCGGTGATGGATACCCGGAAGGTGCGGAAGACCGGGTTGTAGCCATCCGTCACCTCAAACTCAAAGCTGTCCATCTTCACCTCGTCGTCGGATGTGTGGATGTAGTAGATCTTGTTGCCGGCAAGCTGAAGTTGGGTGAAGGTGGAAATGGGCACGCCCGGATAGTCGGTGCACTCCAGGTGACCTCTGCTCGGTGCCCGCGTAATGCTAAAGCTGAGAAACTCATCGGGGCTGTTGATATCGCTGGTGCTAAGGAGATCGGTGGTTAGCGTGACTTTGCCGCCTTCCTTGAGGGTCACGCCTTTGTTGATGACTTCTGGGAAGACCATGTCAATGCCTCCGATGTTGATGTAGAAATAGCGATCAATCAGGGCGTTGACGCCGTCCGTGACATCAAACTTGAGCAGGTCTCTGATGCCTTCCTGGCCAGTGTGCACGTACTGGATGAGCTGCTTGTCAATCTCGTCCTGCGTGAAGTTCATGCCGAAACTGATGTTACCGAGAACGTCTCCAAACTTGCTGATGCGCTGAAGGTAGCCTTGGCCCGGACCGTAGCGCACGATGTACACCAGCGTGCTGTCGTTGGAGTCCAGATCGGTGGCCTTCAGAATCCGGTTGTTGATGACTTTAGTCTCACCGATCTCGACCTCAAGTCCGTCATTAATTGCCATCCTGGGTGTCTCATCATCGACCGGAATGACCATGATGATGACTTTCTTCTCCACTGTGTGTTTCCCGTCTGAGAGGCGTATCACGAAAGTATCCTCTTTGGTCTCAGAGTCGTCATGCTCGTAGACTATATTGGAGACCTCCTTTATCTGTTCCAAGTCAAATCTGTCCACCGGGATGGTGCCAGTGCTCAGCTGTTGGACTATGGTGCCGTGTTTGGGGCTTTTGACAATCTCAAAGTACAAGTCGTCATCGGGGATGTCGGCGTCGGCCGCGTTTAGGATGGGCGTGTCGATGACCAAGCTCATGCCCTCCATCACTATGAACTCCCGAATGAAGATTTCAGGCTTCTCGTCATTGGCTGGAATGATGATGACCGGGAAGAAGTGTCGTTCAGAGAAGTTGATGCCATCCGAGCAGCGGAAGGTGAAGCGATCCTCCACGGGTTCAATGCCTTTATGGATGCTTTGGACATAGTAGATATGCCCGGCGGCAACATCTTTAATGCTAAAGGCAGTGATAGCTGTCCCCGCCCGGGATTTCTCCGAGCCGGGAGCTGGGGAGATATTCTCCACGTAGCCGGATGAGGGCTGGACGATGATGGTGCACAGGATGTCTTCGCTGTTTGTGTCGATGTCCTCCGCTTGGATCTGGTCCAGAGTGATGACATTCTTCTCCCCTTCCAGCACGACAAACTGACCCCCGACGCGAACAATCGGCGGAATGCTGTCGACAGGCAGTATGGTTACACCCACCGTTACGCCTTGGACCTTGTTGCCGCCGACCACCCACTGGTCAGACAAGTCGGACAGTGTGAGGTTGAACGAGTCGTGTCGTTTCACCGGTCCGATTTCCCCGGAGGTGTGCACGTACACCACCGCTCCGTTGATAATGTCGGCTTGCGTGAACCTTTCAGCGGGGGCGCCGTTGACCAGGATTTCGCCCAGCCTGGGGGGCTCCTCTACAATGAACATCAACATGAGGTCATCCGTGTCCTCGTCACGGCCCTGTATCACATTGCTGGTGATTTCCGTGGCGCCATTTTCCAGCACGTCAATGGACGCGGCCACCACACCGGCAGGAAGCATGATGGTCGGGGTCTCGTCGTCGACTGGGTCCACGGTGATCTTGATGTTAATGGGCACCTCGTGGAAACCGTCACTTACGTCCAGCTTGATGACGTCGTTCAGAGATTCTTCGCCGTTGTGGATGTAAGCTAAGCGGCCGTTCGCAATGTCCTGGAGAACAAACGTTTCTCCGTTGGACATGTCGATGCCTAAATACTGCAGCCGCCCATGTTTGGGAACTAGGCTCACTGTGAAAATGATATTTTCATCATTTGTATCAGTGTCTGTGGCGTGCAGATCGTTACTAGTGATGACGTACGAGCCTCTTTCCATGATGCTGAACCCCGTGTTTGTAATTAGCGGGGGTTTGTTGTCGACCGGCTGCAGAAAAATGGTGAACAGCCCCTCTGCTGTGTTTCCAGAAGTGTCCTCCACGATGAACGTAAACTGAGCCACTTTGGGAGTGATGCCGAGCTCCTGGTCAGGGGGCTTGTACGCCACCTTGTGGTGGTTGACCTGGGCCTGCGTGAACTCGTTGATGACAATGTCTGGGTGGTCTGTCAGTACAATGTCACCCAGGGGCACCGGGTTGTTCTCATCTGTGTCAGCCGGAGGCTTGGTGATGGTGAACTTTAGGTCTCGGTCATCGGAGTCTAGATCGGTGTAGCATAAAAAGGATTTCTTGAAGTACGTCAGTTCGTACTCCTTGACCGTCATGTGAAGGGTAGTGCCATGGCAGAGCTCTGGGGCAAGATCATCGACGGGGTGGATTTTGACAGTGAACAACTGCTCCCCGGATTGATTGGGTGGGTCATTATCGTCCTGGACCCGGAACACATAGTGGTCGATGACGGTGGTGGTGCTGTGACTTCCAACGTGGCGGTAGAATAGCTTTCCATCCATGATGTCCTGCTGGACCCATTCAGTCACCACCTGCTCAAACATCTCATCCGTCGCGCTGAACTTCCACAGGGAGGGGTCGGAGGGGGGCTCCACTTGCCGAAGCAGGAACTCCCCCTCAACAGAATAAGGCTCCTGCAGGATGAACTTCACAGCGGAGTCTTCCGAGTCGATATCCGTGGCGCTCAGGATGAACGGTGAAATCTGCATGACTTCGTTCTTGAACAGCACCAGCCCGGTGTTTGCATTGATGATGGGCGGCTCATCATCCGTTGGGACGATCGTGATGGGGAACAAAAATTCAACGTCATTCTGGCCGTCCGTCATGCGGAAAATGATGTTGTCGCTGTAGGTGTCACTTCCGTCATGCTGATACACCACAACTCCGGCGTCCAAATCGGTCGGCGTGAAGAATTTCCTGCGACCCCCGAGCACACTCAGCTGCCCGTGCTTCAGGCCGTCAATTACGGTGATTCTCACATCTTCCAGGTTATCTTCGTCACTGATCTCTAAATTCTGTGAGCTGGAAAGTGCTCTCGATTGCCCCTCAAACAAGAGCTGGCCCGTGTTTTTGGTGGCCACGGGGGCCATGGTGTTCATGGGCTTCACCACAATCATAAACGCAAAGGTCTCAGACACGGCACCGTCCGTGTCAACAATTTCAAACTCAAGCTGGAAGATTCTCTCCACTTCGGAGTCACCCGAAGGCGGCTTGTAGGCTATTTTGAGATCTTTTATGTCTCGCTGGTAGAAGGAGGTGATGGGCATGTTCTGGTCATCCGTGCTGATGATATAGCCCTGCTCGGGGCCCAGCGGCGACGTGACATTAAAGATCAAATCGTCTGGGTCCGACTCCACGTCTTCAGCGGCCAGCATGTCGCCAGTGATGGCGGTCATCACAAACTGATCCACCTCCATCATCATCATTGACACAAAGCTGGGCTTTGGCCCCGTGTTTTCTGTGCCCTCCCTGATCCGAACCATCATTTGGAAATGCTCTTGCATGATCGTGTTACCTTCGTTGTCCTGCAGCTCTACCACCATGGGAATGTAGTCTCTATTTGGGGAATCGGTCTTGGCTGTGTGCTTGTAACGAATTCCCATCTTCACAAATTGGTCGCAGTCGACCATTTGTCCATTGCTGGGATGATTAATGAGAGTGCCATACCTGGGGAGACCTCCGGCGCCAACCAGTGTGGCGATCTTGCACTGTGTGACCCCATCCTCGTAGGAAAACTCCAGTGCCTTCTTGTCGATGGGGCCGCTCTCGCCATTGAGCTTGTCCACGTTGATGGGCATATTCCTGGTGAGGACCTCGAGCTGCTGGAAAACAACTTCCACCTCCAGCATGAATGGGATCACCACTGTGTCTGTCTGCGAGTCATAGCGCAGCTGTAGCTTCACCCGGTCCGTGCTGGGGCTCCGTGACCCCAAATGGGTGTATTTCACTTCATCCGGCGCGAAGGAGCAAGGGAACTTCTTGGGGGTTAGCGTCCCCGGTCTCTGAGCCAGCGGGTCGTTGTCCAAAACCGTGATGTGGCAGCGATCCCCGGGCTGAACCTCAGTCACCAAGTCATTCAGGGGATCCAAAAACACGGATTTCCCCAGCAGAACTCTGATCCCGTTGTTGGCGATGATGATGTTGTCTTCGTTAGGTCCGGCTTTGTACTGGTACAGGTGCGCTTGGTTAAAAGGCTCTGCTGAGACGAGACACACGCCGAGCACGAACAGGAGGCACGTCCAGTGTGAACTTTGCAGACGAGCTGCCATGTCCGTTGCTTCGCTGTCTTAAATTTCACAAAGTAGAGACCAAAAAAGAAAAAAAAAATCAACTCCCAATTTGAACAAGAATGAATGGGATCACCACTGTGTCTGTCTGCGAGTCATAGCGCAGCTGTAGCTTCACCCGGTCCGTGCTGGGGCTCCGTGACCCCAAATGGGTGTATTTCACTTCATCCGGCGCGAAGGAGCAAGGGAACTTCTTGGGGGTTAGCGTCCCCGGTCTCTGAGCCAGCGGGTCGTTGTCCAAAACCGTGATGTGGTAGCGATCCCCGGGCTGAACCTCAGTCACCAAGTCATTCAGGGGATCCAAAAACACGGATTTCCCCAGCGGAACTCTGATCCCGTTGTTGGCGATGATGATGTTGTCTTCGTTAGGTCCGGCTTTGTACTGGTACAGGTGCGCTTGGTTAAAAGGCTCTGCTGAGACGAGACACACGCCGAGCACGAACAGGAGGCACGTCCAGTGTGAACTTTGCAGACGAGCTGCCATGTCCGTTGCTTCGCTGTCTTAAATTTCACAAAGTAGAGACCAAAAAAGAAAAAAAAAATCAACTCCCAATTTGAACAAGAAAAAAAAAACATGCAAGCTTCTGGTCCTCTATCTTCTGCTGCTGCGTCCTCCCACAGACGCACAAGTGTGGTGAGTGCTGCAAGGGCTGCGCAGGTAATAATGAAACTGTAGACAGGGACCCTCGTTGGAGCCTCCCCCCCTCCCCCCCTGTCAGCACAGAGGAAGGGAGGGGAACGTGTTAGGGGGAGAGCCTCCTGCCCTCACAGCTAAATTAAGAAAGACTATTGGAAGAGGTTGTGAAAGTGCTCCTCCAACCAAGAGAGGCAACCTTTTGAGAGGTGGGACGTGAGGGGGAGGTGTGAACTGCAGTGCGGGAGGCAATTTAGTGGAATGGATGCTGTGCGTGCTAACCAATAGTTTGTCTTCTGACGACAATCGCCAAAGATTGCCTACATGCACATGGTTGATATTGGGCACGTTGATTGAAGGGGGTCTTAAGACAGCCTCGAGGTGTGCACTGGGGTGTGGTCTAAAAAAAATTATCACGATATTACCAGAGAAAAACAGGTGTGACAGATCACACTGTCTATGAAACATAGCTTCACCAACGTCGCAAAAAATAAATAAATAAATAAATAAATAAATACAGACGCCATTGGTTACTCGAGTTTTGTTCACACTTGGTAAGGGGTTATGGTGGGGTCACGTCACTGGGACGTCCCGGCACTAGAGTGCCTGCTGGTTGGGTCCACAAAGGGCATCAGCTGGACAGGTGGACGACGGGCACCCTGAGAAAACTGAACATCTGATCCGAATGTTGCAAAAATGTGTTAAATTTGCCTAGTAAGTCGTCGGCAAGCAGACCACACCGATTTGGCTTAGCCTTAACCTTCTGCATCTCTATTGAGTTCATAATGCGTGAACTCAATATGGCGCACACGGTCATGTTCAGATAAAAATACCGGGCCACCTTGTTCGGATAATGTTTTGGTGTTGTGATGAGCTTCAGAGTTTCACACTGTTCTTTGATTTCAGCAGTGTTTAGTCCAGGACATATGTCATTTTACAGTGCAAATTGATCGAAAAGTTTTGAACGTGTAGAAACTGTGTAATAAGCACACTGTCGTGGGCAGTGCCGTGGAAAACCCGGCCTAAAACGCGGGCCAAATAGCCGGAATGCCATACGCATTCTGTATCACGCTTTTCTAAAATAAATCTCTCGGCCTCCTCACTTGACCGGATGGAAATAAATGCTTGGTAGGGTGGGGGTGTAACTATAGAAACAAACACACCACGAGTTTTATTTATACTCACTCACTCCTTGATTTCGCTCACATTCCCATCGTGGCGGAAGTTTATTTGGCACCATTCTAAAGATCCTGGTGTTTTAATTCTTCCCGACCCGCGTTGATTGTTAGAATTATGGTAAAAGAAGTTTTTATTTATTTCTTTTTATTCTTAAGCATTCTTAGAAACTATAAATTTAAAAATTCTAAAAAAAAAAAGAAGAAATTTTTCGTTTAAATATTTAAAAAAAATTGAATAAAACACCACTGTGATAATAATAACAATAATAATAAAAATAATAAAATATTTTGCTATTTCAGTTTTTTTAAATTATAAAAACATTAATTACTTTCAATTTATTAAAAAAAAAAATGCCAACATTATGGTGATGCACAATGCGTGTTATATTAGTCCCCAGAATAGCCACATTTCGAATTTGGGAATTTTGGACAATGAAAGTATTTGGGAAATTGCTCTTTAAGTCGTTAAGGATTTTACGATATTACATAAAATAATAACAAGATAACAATTACCCCTTGAGGGCTATTGGGCCCACTCAGGGTTAGGCACACCCCCAAACAGACGCTACAAAAGCAACAAAAATGGTAAAAATGCATCCCTTGCTGAAGTCCAGAAAAGATGGCTTTGATTGTGAGCGGCCTCATGCTAAACGTCCATTCTGTAAATCAACGTGGCATATAAATAGCGATGGCTTCTGAGACCGGAGATGTTTCGATGGGGTGGAGGAAGAGGTTTAGATTCAGCTTCGATGCGGGCCGACCATGCCTGCGGTCGGCTACTTCCGTCACAAACGCACCTCCAAATTTTCACCTGCTCAATGGCCTATTCAAGCATTCCGCGGGCAGATTGATATAGATCCTGGCCCATGGAAACAGGCTGCTTTTAACCATTGGATCGCAACCAAATGCTGGGAAATGAAGAACTGAACGAGAAAGGCGATACATAATCCTGCAGGAAGGTGCGCTGAGAAACCCCAGGGATTTTTTTTCCATCGGATTAAATTAATGACACAACACATTAAAATTGAGATGTTGACCTTTTACCCGCATCAACAAAAAATTGCGAGCTATTAAAAACTGAACGTATACATTAGCTAAACAAATTTTAGCCACATAGCTGACATGGTAACCCACTGGGAAACACCATACTGCAAAGACCTTGAAATGCGAACTTTTTTACTTCCCTCAAAATAACCACGCTAGCTACTAGCTTAGGTAATACATTGTGGAAGGTTAAACAAATGTCAGCAACATAGCTAACACTCTAACTGACTTGGAGACACCTGACAACAAACGCTAAGGTACAACAACACCTTAAAACTGAAATTTGGACCTTTTGACCAGTAAAACAAACAAAAAGAAAACACACTTATCTACCTTATCCGGTCTATTAGATGAACAAAAATACCCAAATATGTAGATTTATGTTTTTCATTGGTTGTTGTGAAATCCCAATTCATAATTCCAATAAAGAGACTGTAGCTACAAATTTTTTGATGTTTTTTTTTTTTTTTCATCTGAATCTAAAAGTATTTCATTCAAAACACTAGCGGAACATTTTGGGGGTTTTTGGACTAGAACAACAACAAAAACAGTAACACGTGTTTTTTTATTTATTTTATTAATTGGACAGTGACAAAACACTTCAGCATAACAAGCACTCAAGCATTTACAAATATATATAAAGCCTCCTCATTGCCATATATAACAAAAACCATCTCCAAACTATTCCACAAACAAAAAGATGACATTATCTCTACAGTAATTATGATTTTCAGTCTCTTTTTGCATATTACAATGTCACATATCTAAGTATTTATTACACTGTTTCACTGATGACACGTTAATGGAATAGCATAAAGCACAAGATGGAGGTCAAGGAAGTCATTCATAAAACTTTTTCAGATATTTAACTTCTTATCTTCCTTTGATGAATGATGACCACAATTAAATTGTTTCGATCTGCAGTTGTTAGTCTCTTCACCTGGAAAAAGAAAGAAGGAGATCAAGAGTGGGTTGAAAGCAATGCATGCATGCGTCCTGTCTCACAACTATCACCTGCTTTTTGCCACGGCTTGGCCAAGTTTATGCGGCCTCTGCTGTGCACTTTGACCTCCACACAGAAACAGCTGTTTGAGCAAGAGGCTAGCTGACATAATCCTACCTTGCCGCCATTGATGTTATTTATGCGTATCGGCGAGAATAGTCTGGAAATTGGAACATTCCCCCGAGAGCGTTGGTTCGGGATTTGTCCCAGTGTTTCAAAAAATGAAGTCGCCTCGCATTTATGTACAGTATATTATTGTGTATTATTCATTCATTTATTTATTTTTGGGTAGAGGCACAAACAAAAGCCAGCCATTAGCACGGTTACCTATAGCATACCAAAGGCAACTTGGCCATGCTTGCTAGCATGGCTCATTGAATAGGTAATGTTGCTAACGTGACTTGCTAACACTCATTAGACTTTGCAACATACATATGTAGGTAGCGTAGCAGAGGCAACTTGCTTACACGAGACACCATTCTCTAATTCTATTTTTATTTTTTTCACGGGGAGTTAGAGCTTATCCTCGCTGATTTAAGGCGAAAGGCGGCCAAAATCCTGGACTAGTTGCCGGTCAGTCACAAGGAACATCAAGAGACAGACAACCATTCACTCTCAGTTTCACACGATCACGAAGTGGGAACTGGACCTCTGCTTACTACATCAAAGTCAGACGAATTTATCAGCATCACTGACTTCCACGTCAGTCCTTGTGTAGCTAATTTTACGAACCTAACTTTCAAACACAACATTAGACTTCCACCCCCATGGATCCACACCAAAAGGAGTTGTGTTCCGCAAAATTTGAATTTCAGCAAAAGCTAAGTGAACAGTCTTGGGATTTGCCGAAGGAGAAATGAAAAAATAAATCCTGAAATATGATCGAAGGCATCGTTATGAGCCCCTGAGAGAGCATATTGAATCATTTGGTGAATAAAGTCACCTCTTCACTTATTCCCGCCTGGTTTTGGAAGCCGGACATACACACACACACACACACACACACACACACACACACACACACACACACACACACACACACACAAAAAGAGACAAAGTTGAAAGGCCGTTCGTCATCAGGGTGCTGTCGAGCAATGCTTGTTCACTGACAAGCCATAAACTACAGCGGCATAATTAGGGAAGCAGGGAAGCGCAGCATGTTATTTTTCTGTCAGCGCCCCAGGGCTTTCATGTTGGAGAGCTCATCCAAGTTGGGGAGGGGGGGAACGATAACTGCACTTCGACAGACAAAATGGTCTCTTAAAATGTATAGAGGTCTACTTGGAGAGGTGGGTTCTTATTGTTGGGTCGCAGACAGGTCAAGCACCTTACTGCTCAACCTACAGCAAACAAATGTGATTGTAGCGTATAAAACAGTAACAGACTAGTGACACAAGTGCAGTATGCGCAGTCAAGGCTGGGTAATAACGTCGCACAACTGGGAAGGACGCTCGGGAAGTGCCCTTCCCTTGTGAAGGAACAGCTGTTCCTTGTCTACGCTTTCTGAACACAACCCATTGACTTGTAGGAAGAAAAAAAACATTAAACCAAGGTGGGCATCGTAAAAAGGGAAGGTAGCTATTCACATCACACTTGTGGGGGTTTTTTTTGTTGTTTTTTTTGGGGGGGGGGTGATACAAAAAGAGTTTATATGTGCAGTCATCATATTTGTCATCAGTCGTGTCCAAAGGGAAAGCTATGCCTTTGCCATTCACAATAGCTAATTTGGCCTCACGTTTGGTTATGTGGACATCGTGTGTGTTAGCTACGTTACTGATTGGAGTAGTTACGGCTAAAGTGAGTTAAGTACTTACATTAGATATCATACAGTGAATACATCTGTAAGCGAGTCACGGTCGCTACATTAACAACAGATAAGATCTGAAGGCATGTTAGGAAGTCACATTAGCAATGCTAGCTACATAAATAATGAAGTCGAATGGGGTGTTAACAAGATACAGCGGTGCTTAAGGTTAGCTATGATATCTAATGGTAAGTTAGACATTGTAGTCAGTTCTGTCAGTCTCTGCGAGTCATTATAGCAACATTAACATTACCGGTCGAGTTATGGTGTGTCAGCAAGTGAGTAGTCACATTAGCGATCCAGAAAATTATGGGGTAGGAGAGAATTAGGATTAGGGTGAAGGGATTAGAGTTAGTAGAGTTCAGGTTAGCCCAAATTGAACTTCTAATTGACCAAAACATACAGTTACTTATAATTTATTGCAACACCTGTTGCGTTGAGAGCCTGTAAATGCACTTTAACAGCTAGCCTCACTTTGACCATAGCCAATCAAAAGCTGAAATAAAGGTATTGCTGAAAGATTGATAGGTTTGGTCTAGATTTACATCGAGGAATGCGTCACATGTGGACGTAGGGAGCCACACACTGTCCGGT